GATCCTCTCTTTCTTCAAGAAGACATTCCCAAAAACTTCTTTGTTCCACTCTTTAATGCCATCCTTCTACTTTCTCAGTTTCTGCATGAATTGGAATCCTCCCCGTTTGCCCGGTTCTCGTCCTTTCACCCTTTTCTAGACGCATCCTTGAACCCCAGGTGTTGTAGCCACATATTTTTTAACCTAAAAGATGGTCCCCAGGTTACCTACTGGGATTCAAGTCGAATCAAGAAATGATCAGAGATGGTTTTGGAAGAAACTCCTGCAGCATATCCGGGAAAGTGTCCTCCCATTGTGTAGAGACCAAGAAACAATCTAAATGAGGAAACTAGCCTCTGTCTATTAGCAGACCATGTATATTGGCCATTGTTCAAGGGCAGATCTCTTAGATCACACTCATCCTCTATGATCACCTAATTAATATCACCACCTGTACACCAAAGGATTACAAAGGCCAGTCAAATATGACAATTCCTCCAAAAGAGATGACATTTCTCTTTACCTAGTGAGTCCGAGACACAGGTAATCCACCAACAACCTTTCCCTTTTATGTTCAGCAGGATAGACAGAATAACTCCCTTCCAACATAAAATTTAATACAATAAGATAACAGTATCAGGAAAAAAAAAGTTTAATCGAAAAGAAAACTACGAAAACATTTTAAGAAAAAAATTACTTAGTATTTTAGCGAACTTAAAAAAGCCCCCTCGAAGAAAAACTGGCCTAAGTGTGCCATTCTTATGGTTAGAATCAGACATGAATTTCATTTGCCTAAAGTTTTGATTTTTCCATAGAGCTGATTCTTGTTTGCATGAAATTCCTGGGCAGATAACAGAGACAATGGAAATGAAACCCTAGAATAGATGTGGAGGTGAGACCATGAAACTCATTCCTGTTCCAAATTAGAGAAAGATAATTTTAAAGAAAATAAGAAACATGTCAAGTGCTAAAAGCATAACTCATGGTTTCAGCACATATTTGTACTACTACTTCCTCAATTTTGATAGAAATAAATGATAAGATAATTAGCAAAATAACAATAAAAATAACAACAATAATAAAGATATTTTACTTTTTTAGTGTGACAATTGTAAGTTTTGGGAAATACCTTCTACAGTTTTATCAAAAAGATGCTGGATCTCCCCAACTTGCTCATCCATCATACTCTACAGAGTACAATGAAAAAAATTATGCAATTGAAAAAAATACAAAATCTCATAAATATAAAAATGACAGAGTGCCAAGTTTGCGTAGATGAAGGGCAAACCAAACTGATAAATATAATTTCAGGAAGATAACAGGAACGACTTTTCATATAACAGAATATTGAAGCTCACATGATTATGTATAGACTAACATTATTAATGGCAATGAATTTATGAAATTAGAAAAATTTACGGTATGTTAAACAATAAAGCTGAAGCAAATAAGTGAACAAAGGTAATGTAATGGGTATAAAGGGGAAAAAAATAAAAGAAAAATCACCCTCCATATCTGGCATCTGTTAGAAAGTGCTTCCATTCCTTGCTCCAGTGCTTCCACTGAAGTTTTGTGGAAAACAGTACACACATCCCTGAATCCACCTGCTCCTTCTATACTTTCCAGAAGTATATCCAATTCCTTAGTCATCTCCTTAATCTGTTAAGGGCTCAAAAAATAAAAAGAAAAACAAAAAAGAAAAGAGGTACATTCAGAGGTATGGAAGAAAAAGCAAAAACTAAATATTTATAGCTAACCCGAGAATAACCACGGGGAAAGGGGGAAGTATAAAGTATGGAATGAACAAAAGAAAAGTAACTGATTAATCAAAGAGTGACTTGTTTAAGATCACAAAGTATTACTAGCTAGCCAATGAGTTTAAACTTAAGTACAAAACTTCTAACTACTGTAGGGTTGACAGCAGATCAAGTTGCTGCTGTAGAAATTAGGAGAATGCACATTTCAAAGTTACATAAAAATATTTTAATGAGTTGCAAAACTTACATTGCTAAACTGCTTTGAAAGATTTGGTTCAGATTTCAAAGTCCCTGATTTTGGTAGGCTCGTTTTATCATCCTTGGAAGCATAAAAGTTCTGATCAGAGGACTTGTTGAAGGAAATGCTTAGCTGTGATGACAGTGATGAGCTACGGATGGAAGGTATTGACTCAATTTTCCCAGCACCAGTAACAGCTCTCTGTGCACAACTCTGTGTTGCTTGATCAGAAAATTTTACTGAAGGAGATGCCCCTTCGATATCCTTGCCTTGAATAGATTTTCCACCAAGATAATCAGAATCATTTGCAGCAGTGAAGCTAACTCCAGAATTTTCAGATCTGTTGCCTTGATTATGGCTTGCAGTAAAAAGCTGAGATCTAGAATCAGAACCCTCTGACTTTCCACTTGACCATGACTGAGTTGGAATGCTTTTCCAGGATTGAAATGATGAACCCTGCAGGCCCAATCCAAATTTACCAAGGGGTTCTTCAACAACTTCAGTATTTCCATGTAAGTCCTTAAAGTTTGATTTGGTAGGGGTGTCAGGTTGAGTATTTCTCATAAAAGAAGAACTAAATCCAAATCCAGAAATTTTCTGAGCTTCTGACTTGCTGGAGATCTTTGCCAAATCACCATGTCCATCAATGATTGAACTCTTTGAGGATACTTGCCCAAAACTTGTGCTGAGTTGTCCAGGAAACTTTGTTGGTGGAGCATCTGTAACTTGCAACAGCTTTGTTGTAGCAATCTTTTGTTGTCCATCAGCTTCTGAAGAGAATGGAGTCTTCAGAAACTCAGGGTCCTGGCTCTCAGATAGAACATCTTTCTTCAAAATTTGATCAGCAACACATGTAAAAACTGAACTCCCCTTGTTAGCATGCTTCAGCTCATTTCTATTAGGAATTTCTTCATACTTGTTTGTGTCAAGTTCCTTAGCATTTCCACCCTGCAACGGAGGACTCGTGACTATCTGTTCAACTTTTTGTTTAATGAGTCCTGAAGGAAGTTTAGACACATCACATTCTATAGGTATCTCAACAGCCAGACCCTCTTCCTCATCAGAAGAGGTAGAAATGACATGAGGTGAAGGTGCAGTTCCTGTGACACTATAGCAGAAGTTAATTTAATATGTTATGTCAATAAACCTTAACAACAGTCATGATACCAGAGTACTAACCCTAGCCAATACAGAAAAATACCTTGCAACATGGAACATAATGAGCTTTCCTTCACAAGTAAGGCACATGAGAATGCAATATGGTGAAATTTCTTTCTCTTCATCAACTCCAACCTGGATTTTCACATTTTCATATATCGAAACTTTCTCGGTGCAGAGCCCCATGATCAAATTATCATCTCCATTATCTGAAACATGGGCCAACAAAAGCATGTTCACATCAAATAACCAAAAGATACAAATTGGGGGACAAATACAAATATGTGGACTATGTTATAGACCACCACGGTTAAATAATCAAGAGGCTCAGCAGTTCAGACTATCTCCCTTCGATTAGTTAGTATAAGGAGATTGCACATGAAACCAAGGGAAAGAAAAGACTAACTAATCTCCAGCACATTCGTAAACAGTTTTTTCCTATCAGTTCATTTTCCCTTGTATATTGCAGTTTCCCCACCTTAGATATTGGGGTGGTTTCTGCAGTTACTGAGAGTATGCAGTTAGTTTTCCTGATCTTGTTCTACAGAGTGCGTACAAACAAGCAATTATGCCAAAGAAATATGTCCAGAATTTTTTCTTTGTTTTCGAAATATTGTGTGCAGAATTTGTCTTGATCAAAAGGGAGTTTCTTTCTAAACTTACAGAGATTGTAGGGTTCCACCTTAATAAGCCATACTTAAAGGTAGCAATAAATTAAGAGATCAAAGAGTAGCCCTTACATTCATGCACAACCTGCAGCAAGCAATATATAAATTCCAAGCCCCACATGCCCAAAGCTCATCCACTATTAACACAGAAACAACAAAAGAAATCCTACAACTTTCAAGCCTCCAAACACCACATTTTGCATGGTTCCTTGCTCTTTCAGATCTGCTTCGTGGACACCTAAAACCCATAGCATTAGGATGAGCTGTTGTTATAGAAAGATTTCAGAAGTTTCCATCTTTGGCAATAGACTAAGAGCACAATATTTGAAGGAGGGATCCAACTGACATCTAAAATAGCCATCAAATACAGGTATTGACTTCCTCAATTTGTCCATAGTGAGATAGCTGAGGTTCCTAGAAAAATGGATACTCCAAACAGCATTCTCGGTTGAGTCAATGTCCAAAACTTGACTTACTGCTGCTTCCTAACCCTGGCCAAAGAGAAAATATTTGGATAGCAGGCTCTCAGTGGAAATTTTTTTATTTTACATATGTTGACACTTTATGTTTCCTTTCCCCTTCACAAGCTCTCTTCAAACCTTCCTCCTAGTTCTTTATTGTGACAAAAAGCCTTCATAGACTTTGTATTTCTTGACTTCTATGCATGTTTATATATTTTTTTATCAGGATAAATATGTTATGCGACTCACATAGAGTTAACACGGACTTAAGCAACCAACCGAAGGAAGATTGCTTAAATCAGGATGCTAGTAAGGAAATTGGAAGGCTAACATCGTGGCATCTTCAAGTGAAATAATGTCAAAAGTCTATTTCTTAATAATGTCATATCAAAATTGCAAGTACTTGAACAACTTGTACAAAATCTTGAGTGCAAGTTTACATACCTTGAAGCTCAATCCTTGGAAGCCAACCATCTCGCTCGATATCCACAACTGCGACATCATTCCTTTCCTCACCTTGCGACCAACCAAGCAACAAAACATGCTGATCCGTATTCTTTCTGTTTGCAGTTATTGCAAACTCACTGTAATCACAAACATCAGAAAGAAAAAAGTAAGTGTCAGCAACTCAATCTCAAAGTCTCTATAGAGATAATTACAAATATAAAATAAGCATATCTCTCAAACTCGAGCGGAAATAGAAATTCAGTAAATAGGAATAAGGGTAGATACCTACAAGAAAGAAAGGGTTCATCTGATTAAGCTTCTATCTACTGCTTCTCAGCTCCATGACAACCACCCAAATAAACACAAACTTCCCAACTCACTTAAATAAAACCAAATAAATCAACTTTTCTACATGAGAAAAAATTCCATTTTTATTTTTTAAAATTCATCACCCACAACCATCACAAATGACCAGCCATAACAGTAACCAACTACCAGGACACAGAAGCGTGGACATGCTAGCTGGCCGAGTAACAAACAGCTAAATAAGACCAGATCAGCAACCCAATAAAAGAGGCAACCTAATCTCATGACTTGGACAAGATTATGGTCGGGATCTGAACTAGTCAGGTAGTGACTTTTCCTGAAGTGAGCCAGTTAGAGTTGTATACCTGGCTGCTTGATCTGACAGTGACTTGCCAAATTTATTACTATTCTTTTTTGGCACTAAAAATATCTCTACTTTTCATTGGTTTCAATTTTATTATAATAATTTCTATTACTACATATAAAATAATGATCTATTGCAAGTAACAAGACCCAACAATGTTCTCCCTTTGTTATATGCTTCAGCAGGACAAATCCCATTAATCATTTCTTTCTGCAATGTGAGCTGGTTTGGAGACTTTGAAGAAAAAACGTGATAAAAAATATCAGAATAACGTTATTACAATCCTATTATAACATTATTCCATTTCTGATGAATAGTTAATAAATTTTAGTTGTATTCCATTCAATGGAAAAGGCATGCTGCCCATAGCTTGTAGGATTACAGATTCCAGTTGTATTCCATTCAATAAACCAAGTATGTTGTTATACGCTTGTAGGATTGTATAACAACAGCCATGAACCTTGCTTGGCTCCAGAAAAAGGCTCAAAGAGAAGAGATGGAGGGCTAGCAAGCATACTGCCAGCAGTTCTAAGAACCATCCTATACAAAAATTTTTTTTTCTTGAGATAAAAAGAATGTGTATTAAGTATAAGACACCAAGGGGGTGTCACCCCTGTACAAAATATTTACATATTAGTTAAAACATCAAAAACTTTTCCAAATTATCCCAGCCATACACATCATGCCTTAAAATTAGAGTTTCAAAAGTATATATCCACCTATCTCTAATTCTACCCAAATACCCCACACACCCATCAAATGCTCTATTATTCATCTCTTTCCACACAATTTACAAAAAACTTAATGCAATGAGCTTTACAAATTTCAAATTCTTACCAATCCCATTCCAAGCCCAGAGTTTATTTTTCACTCTACCCTCAATCATCCAATTGATACCCAGTAGACCATAAATCGGGCACGAAAGTAGAAGAATGATTGCATGATTCAGCCGCCACCCTACAAAGATAATACCCATTAACAATAATGTGGCTCATTCTCATCAACTTGTCGATAGTGAAGATACTTTCCGGACCTGTTTCCCAAGCGAAAAAAGCGATTCTCGTAGGTACATTCACTTTCCAAATCTGTAGAGCCCGAAACCTCACAACTTCCGCATCTATATTGGCCAAATAGTCGTAAAAGGACTTTACTGAAAATATATCGTCTTTCTTCAATTTCCTCAACCTTATCCTTATTATCTTCCAAATGCACATTAGCCAATAACTGAAGGAGGCCTAGTGAACTCACCGACCTCCCAATCGTTAAGATTTCTAGACAAACTCATGTTCTAGCCACTCCTCCCATCCTCCCCTTTGAAGACCTCCTCTACCACGACATTCTTCCTTAGGGGTAAAACATAAATTCTTGGAAATTGGTCTCGAAGTTTACCCCACCCAATCCACTCATCCTTCCAAAAGTTAATGATATTTCCCTTCCGAAGCTTCCATTGAATGCAACGAAGGAACTGATGTCTCCCCAACCCGATCTTCCTCTAAAGCCCCATCCCATGAGTTCTAGTCAACTCCCTACTACAACTCGTCCCAAGAAGTATCTCCAACCTCGCCTCAATGACCCGACACCACAATTTTCCCTCCTCTGATAAGAATCTCCAAAACCACTTGAGAAGAGATGGAGATCAGACAAAAAAAAACATTGCTTTAAGAACGACAAATCTAATTGTTCTTGGACATGTGTAAAAGGAACTTTTTATGCTAATTATAAGGGAACTTAAGTTAGAAGAGATTATTGCAGTTGGAGGCTTTGGAGAAGGTGAGCTCGAAATTTCAATTCATGCCATCATGAGAGCTGCTGCTATCCAAACTATGAAAATCAAGGCCCTAGGTGACCATTCTTTAAGGTGGAATGGAGGAGTGCTTGTTGTTTGATTCAGAAGATTGTTGTCAACTAGAACCATTCTCATGGAGCCACACAAGAGTCTATGAGACATGATGGCCAATGGAAAGCCGGTACAAAGACCATGCATGTCCTTTGACCATAATCCCTTTCTTTGGGATTTGTTTGTCTTACCTTTCAATGGCTTCTAGACAATGTTAGGAGTCAACTAACTTTGGAAGTTAAGGCAAATTCTACGGAATGTCCCAGCCATAGATAATGTCCTTCCATCGCAAAAGGGAATACTATACACCTATAACGGTTTCGTGGATATACTGAGCAAGAGGAGTGCCAAGTTGGCTGTTGTCTCCATTAAGCAAAACACCACCTAGACCTGCAGAGGTGGTTAACAGACTTCCAATTCTTCTTTGCTGCACCAAGTGGCTTCCCACCCTAACGATCCCATGACTACAAAATTATTATTATTATTTTGAAATAAAAAGTGTAAAGTATTATTCACAAGCTACAAAAAAAATGAGGTACCACCCATGTACAAAATCTCTACAAAAACGTTAGAGCATCAATGACTTCCTAAAAATTCTCATAATTAATGATGTCATAACCAAGCACAATTGTCCCAAACAAGTGTATCCATCTATTCATTAATCTATTAGAACTACTCTCTATGCTATCAAAAGCCCTTCTATTCCGCTCTTTCCAAATAACCCAAAAAACAGTCAAAGGGATAAGATTAGCAATGTTTCTTTTTACATATAGACCATCCCGAACCCAAATCTCCCCCCACCCCAACCGAACCCGAAATAACCCAATTAATACCTAACCACCCATAAATCCTGCACCATGGTTTAGAAACAGTAGGACACCATAGTAGAAGATGATTGCAAGTTTCCTCAGCCTTTAAACAGCAATAACAACCATTTGCAATAATCCTGCCTTTACTTTTCAACCTGTCCAAAGTAAGGATTTTTTCCCAGTAAGGCTCCCAAGCAAAAAAAGCAATGTGTGGAGGAATTTTAGTCTTCCAAATCGGCTTTGCAGGAAAAGGTCTTCTGTTTTCAGAATCCATCTCGTGTAAGAATTTATAGTATGAGGTGATCGAAAATATTCCATTTTTTTCCAGATTCCACACCACCTGATCATCACTATTCGACACCTGTGCAGATTCAAGAGTAGCCATTAAGTCTTCAAACTCTTCCACCTCCCAATCATTCAAGTTTCTCTTAGTATTAATTAACCAAACTGTGTTCCCATTAACAACCTTGTAATCCTCCAAACAATCATATCTTTGGATTAAGTGATATTATAAATTCTAGAGAACCTCCTCAGTAGTCTACCTTCCCCACCCAGGACTACAAAATTATTTTAAAAACAAATACCAACCTGTTGTGGTAAAACCTTACAGTTATGTGCACTTGCAAAAAGATGAAATTGAGATACAAGTGGTGGAGATGTTGCACCAAGGAATTATTTGGCCAAGTCAATCCCCTTTCTGCTCCCTAGTATTATAAGTAAAAAGGCAAATGGCTTATGGTCCTTTTGTATGGATTATCGTGTCCTCAACCAAAAGACAACCAAGGACAAGTTTTTATCCGAGTGATTGATGAGGTTCTTGAAGGACTGCATAGTGCCCAGTCTTTACACACCACTTCTCAAACCATAATGAAGGCTAAGAGTTCCTGCTCATGCCATGGCAAGTTTCTATAAGTATTGTCCGATGATATCCTCACCTACAACAGAACATTGGTTGAACATATTAGAAAACCTTAGGTTGTTATTCTCCTTGATAAAAAATAATAGCTTGTTTTTGAAGAAGTCCAAATGCCTTTTGCACAAACCCAGATCTCATACTTAGGTAATACAATTTCTATTAAGGTCGGTCGGGGCAACTATCAGCTCTAAAATCTCATTGATGATACAATGGGCAAAGCCAACAACCATTAAACACCTTCGAGGTTTATAGGCTTAACTAACAGCTAATAGAATTTGTGAAATTCTATAGCTATTATAAACCCTTAACACCAATGCTACACAAAGATTCTCTCGTTGGACCTCGAAAGCCTTAGTGCATTTGAGCAAGTCAAGACTGCCATGATTACTATACATTTTTTAACACTCCCTAATTCTTTTTCTAGAACTTTATTTTTGAAAGTACCACCTCTGGTTATGAAACTGGAGTGGTGCTACAACAGGAAGGTCAACCCATAGCTTTTTTGAACAAAGAATTGGCCACCTGAAGCTGATTGACATTAATAGCCATAACATAGTGGCAATGCCAATCAAGCAAGACAAGAGATAGCTTGCGCAAACAGTTGATTGTAGATGGCAGTTCACTAGCCCATGAAGCCTAACAACAAGAAATTCAGGAGAAAGCTTTTAATGTCTTTCCCCTAGGAGGATTTTGTACCACCCGCTAACAACTTAAAAAGAAAGCTTGACCAAGGGTGCATGTCCAAAACACATTAATTAGTCCGTGAAGATCTTAATATTATCTATATGTAGACCTCTCTTGTCCAAAAGTGGATTTGGGGAAGAAGTGGCTATGGCCCTAACAAAGGCTCTTCAAAAGTATCAATATGTAAAATTGACCGACATGACATAGGTCATTTTTGAAAGTTCACATCTCCAATAGTATCCTTGCATAATCTCAGAAGAATTTTTAGTTTTTATAGAATATTATTCTTAACTATATATAATGCTAAATCTATTATTTTGAGTTCCATTTCAAGACTAGGAAAAGAAAACATCGTTGCAGACACGTTATTCCAACAGTATAAGGATGTGGGCACCCAGTAGCAATTTCCATGCCTCAAATAGATATATTCCATGCTATCCAAAAGTAGATTACTATAATGCAGGTCTCATAGACATTGGCTGAGCAAGTACAAACAGGTGAGGTGATCCATGGACGTCCCAAAGTAGCCTGCTCTTCTAAAGTCTTTGTGTTCCTTGTTAAGAAGTGTACAATAAGGTTACATTAGTATAAATATATATCCCGAATTTCGTAATCTTTGTAATTAATATTGTTCTTTTTGTTATTATTATTCACTTGTATATATACAAGGCTCTATGTTCAATCAAATACAGAACAGTTCATTCTTCCATATGATATCAAAGTCCCATGTTAAAAAAATCCTAGTCTCTTTTACAAACCTTATTCAGTCTTCATTGTCCAAATAAGAAATTCCTAAAAAAAAGGTCAGCCTCCATAGCCGATAACCACCTGTCGTCGATCCCAATAACACAAGACCAGCATCCTTGATAAAATATGAATCTATAAAAAAAGATTAGGTCATCCTTCATTCTCCAACCTTAAGGTTATGTTTCCTTCTTTATATTCGGATTTTAATAATGGAAATTTACATTGTGATGTATGGAGACCTTCAAATATTCCTAATATTTCTGGGGGCTAGATGATTTGTTTCTTTTATCAACGATTACACTAGAGTAACCTGATTCTTCTTTCTAAAATCCAAATATGAGACTAATTACATTATCTCTTAATTTCACAACACGATCAAAACCAATTTGGAGTAAAAATCAAATGTTTAAAAACTAATAATGCCTATGACTACTTTAACCAAACATTACCCTCTTTTTAAAAGAAGGAAGCATTTGTGAATCCTCTTGTATCTATACTCTACAACAAAACGGAGCAGTAGAAAGAAAAATAACCACTTGTTCACCACTACACATGCATTTTTGTTCAAGAACCATGTATCCAAACACTATTGAGAGGAAACTGTGCTAACTGCTACTTAGCTTATGAACCAATTACCACCTACAATACTAGATTTTCGCTGTCTTATGAAAGTTTTAGCAACATTCTTTCTTAAGGTCAAAGTCACCAATCACCTCATTCATCATATCTCTAGGTGTGGTATCTATGCTCACAAACATCAGTCTCAGAGGGAAACTTGACCCAGGGCCATCAAGTGTGTCTTTGTAAGATATCCCAATATAGAAAGAATACAAATGTTACCATTCATCTATCCAAAAGTTTTATGTATTCACTAATATTACCTTTATTAAGACCGAGTCCTTTTTCTTCATCATCCTTAACTTTAGGCAGAGATTATAGTAAAAGATAAAAATGACTAATGACATTCTTCCCTTAAACACTACACCCTCTAAGACAACCATACTACCCAAAAACTAGAACCCACAAATAAGCCTGAATCTCAAGCTCTAAAAAATGAGCCTGAACCTCAATCCATATAAGATCTATGTTTTTCTCAGGTGTATTCAAGAAGGAAAAATTTGGATTATATTTGAAAACAAATTCAAGGATCCAAACTGGGTATTGGAAATGAGGTAAACACTGAGAATCACCTTCCTTCTAATATTGATATGCCAGTTGCACTTAGAAAAGAAATAAGAAGATGCATTAAACATCCACTCTATTCAATCTCAAATTTTCTCTCTTTTGAAAAAAAAGTTCACCAATCGCACAAGAATTTTCTCATGAGTTTAAATGTAGTGCTCATCCCTAAAACATTACTTGAGGGTTTAAATTGTGAGGAATAGAAAAAAATATTACGAATGTTGAAATATAAGAACTTGAAAAGAATCAGAGATGAGAAGTGATAAACTTACTTAAGGGAAAGAAACCGGTTGAATGTAAGTGAGTCTTCACTATCAGTACAACCCTGATAGAATCATAGAGGTACAAGACAAATCATAGAGAGGTACAAGACAATGTTGGTGGCCAGAAGATATGTTCAGATATATAAGATTTCCTATCAAGAGATATTTGCACCCATTATGAAGATGAATATAGTACATATCTTACTATCCTTAGTAGCTAATTTCAATCGACAATTGTAGTAGTATGATATAAAGAATGTCTTCTTGTATAGGGAATTAGAAGATAAAATTTACATGAAAATTGTCCCTGAGTCTTGTTAAGGAAGTAGGAGCAAACAATGTATGCAAACTGAAAAAAACATTATGCGGGCTAAAACAATCCCCTCGAATATGGTTTGAGAGATTTGTAAAAATAATGCTATATATGAGGTATAGGTAGAAGCAAGGAGATCACACCTTATTCATTAAGTAATTAGAGAAAGAGGAGTTACAACTCTTATGATATATGCAGATAATATAATTGTTATTGGGAATGATGAAGGAGAAAGGTGGTCCTCAAGCAATGTTGGGTAGATCATTCGAGATTAAAGAATTAGAAAAATTAAAATATTTCTTTGGGATAGAAGTGACTTACTCAAATTCATAATATTTATCTCACAACAAAAATAGGTTATTGACCTTTTGAACAAAACTGGTAAACTACCGTGCAAGTTTGCTAGCACACTCATTGATTCTAATCATAAACTAGGATGACAGAAGACAAGACCCAAATTTGGACAGGAAAATGTACTAGATACTAGTGGGGAAATTGATATACTTGTCACATGCTAAACCAGACATTACATATGCAGTCAGTATGGTGAGTCAATCCATGCATAAATTCAAAGAAGTGCACTTACAAGTTTCCTACAAAATATTCCATTACTTGAAGGGTACTCGGGAAAGGAAATTACGTTAAAAAAGAAACAATAGACTGCTTCTTTAACCATACACTGATATGAACTATGTAGGATCACTAGTCGACAAAAAATTAATTTCTATATATTGTATCTTTATTAAAGGGAATTTAGTGACTTGGAAAAATAAGAAGTAGAATGTGGTACCTCGATCTAGTGTAAAATCATAATTTAGGACTATAACTCACGGGATATGTGAGCTTTTATGGTTGATGATTTTAGAAGACGTGAAGAGTTAGCGAAACTTTACTAAGATAACAACTAAGCAATTAGTATCACTCACAATCCAATACAATATGACAGAACTAATCATATTGAAGCAGACAAACACTTCATTAAAGAAAAGTTGGATAGTGGATTGATATGCACTTCATATATGCCAACTATTTTGCAACTTGCTGATGTATTGATTAAAGAATTAAGTAATCCTATATTTTAGACAATTACTGCCAAAATGAGAATGAATAATATTTATGCATCAGTTTAAGGAAGAGTGCTAATAAGTTTATATTAAAGTTCTACTAGGATAAAGAGTACATTAGTAATGTACTCCAACCTTTAATCTTTGTAATTAATATTGTTTCTTTGTTTTGTTACTATTCACTTATATATATATAGGGTCCTATGTTCCATAAAAACAGAACAATTCATTCTTCCACTCTCTTCAAACTCTTCACCTAAGATCTCAATCCTTTCTCCTAGAGGAACTCCCACAAAGAACTAAAAAACCACTCACTCTCTTGTCCAAGAGAAATGGATGTATGAGAGTCTTGCCATATCTCAAGACCTTTAAAGAGGTTATCATAGATTTCCTCTCAATAACTAAACATCTCAAAAGGTAGGGAGATTGGCGTTCGAAGAGACAACTTGCCCAATGGATACGAACCAATTATGAAAAGGACTTCATTCTTGTTCATCGGGAAAATACCAATATAGTAAACTAACCAGATTATGAAAGTAAGATCAAGTACCATTGTTCTAAGTAGTTGACCAGTAAATAAGTCCACCACCGTTAGCACAATATCATCAACCAACCCAGGAAACAGGTCATAAAATGATAGCACAATTGCTTCTGGAAGAAGCCTGCAATGAATGTTTACAAAT